AGGTTTACACTGACACCTCGCGCTTTTTCATTGCATTGCTTTTCATTAAACTCTCAGAATTGTATTCATGTTGAAGTTCTTAAAGCTCGTTTACCATGACTATAGCATACAACAAACAGAAAAGAGACAACGTCTATTATACCGGATAACAAGCGACATCACCGATTCAGAACCATGGACAGCTACCAGTCCCTCTTGCGGGATTCATTTCATAAATGTGTTAAGTATTAAGAGCACAAAATTCAAATGAAGGCATAAAAAACATCATCATTTCAAATATAGAATTCAGACAGACCTGGCAAACATAAGACTGCAGTGAAAACAAAATGAAGTAGGAAAAGAAATCCACTTTTTTTTAGCAATATGCTTAAATTATACATATTGTATAGACATTATTCCTTTCTTCACAACCCATCAAAATCAGATACAGAAGGGTGGATAAATTCCATCTCTACTCGAATAAGCTTAAAACATGCTGCAAGATATTTAAGTTCTGCCTCAACAAAAGGACAACCAGTGGAAAAGGACCGTGACTGGAGAAGAGAAGATATTGTAAAACATACATAAAAAGGACAACATAACATCCCAAACTGCTCTATTCCTACTTATTTTTTTTATTAATTCAGTAATTTTTCTTCTCATATTTTTGTCTTTCTTCAACGGTTATGTTTACATATTTAATATTGCTATGATTTGGCAATATAAAACATTATTTTTTACCATAAAAAGGTTTTAATTACAAAAATATCTGTTGGATAGAAGACACTAAGAATGTTTCATTTGGAACAAGAGCCTGAGCAGCTTCAGTCCTGTGGACAGCAACCGGTGTGTGTCTTAAAACTGTTTCCATACAACTAATACACAGATGTAGGAGTTATTTTCTTACCTCTCCAGAATCTCTCCTCCTGCGATCTGGTATCACTAGAGTATTCCTATTACTGCCTGGCGCTATTGTAGAGCCGATACTCATTCTGGGTCCAACTAACATGTACCGTTTGTCTCCAGATCTGTACTGGATGCTGTGACACAGAGTCCCGTCGTAATTTGTGTCCTGTAAATACTTGGACGAATAGTCTGTAGATTTCGAGCACTGCATCACAATCAACACGATGATGCTGATGACAAAAAGCACTGAAACCGAGCCCAAAGTGATGATCAGATAAAATGTCACGTCGTTTTCCTCCTCGTCTTTTACTGCGTTTTTAACATCAGAAGCTGCAAAAGCCTCTTTAGGCTCCACAACTTTGACAATCACAGTCGCTGTTGCTGAGAGTGAAACGTTCCCATTGTCTTTGACCAGTATGAGCAGTTTATGCTGGGCCTCGTCTGTTTCTGTGAATGAGCGAAGGGTTCTTATCTGTCCTGTATAGCGGTCCAAACTAAAGAGACTGTGCTCACTCACTTCCGGCAGTGAAAACAATAACCAGCCGTTGTATCCTATATCTGCGTCATAGGCTCTGACTTTAGTCACCAAATGACCAGCGTTCACATTCCGGGGAATCTCTTCCACACCCTCAGCAGAACCGTTAGCGCTGACTGGATATAAGATCACTGGAACGTTGTCGTTCTGATCCAGTATAAACACGTTCACTGTCACGTTACTGCTCAGAGACGGACTTCCAGAGTCTGTGGCGAGAACATGGAACTGGAACGTTTTGGTAGTTTCAAAATCAAAACTCTTTAGTGCATAAATCTCCCCATTTTCAGAGTTAATGTTAATGAAAGATGTATATGCGTTTTCTACTCCATCTCTCCATATTTGATAGCTGACCACGCTGTTTTCATTTGTATCTTTGTCAGAGGCAGAAACAGAAAATAAAGATTTGCCGGGAGCATTATTCTCAATCACATAAAACGCATAAGGGGAAACCGAGAACTCTGGACTATTGTCATTTACATCTGATATCAGAACAGTTATAGTTTTAACGGAAGACAGTGATGGCTGTCCAGCATCCTTTGCAACTATTGTGATGTCATACTGAAATTTAGTTTCCCTGTCAAGTAAAGCAGACGTAACTAAAGAGTAAATATTATCTTGTGATGACGGCATTAGTTTAAAAGGTAAATCATCGGGCAGTGAACATGAAATCTTCCCATTGAGCCCAGAGTCTAAATCAGTGACACTAATCAAAGCCACTGTAGTACCAGGTCTAGAATCCTCTGGAATGGCGTTTGAAAATGATGTCACCTCTATTTCCGGTGAATTATCATTTACATCGACGATTTTTATGACTACACTTTTATCCGTAACAAGAGGAAATATTCCTTTATCAGATGCCTGAATGTCAATTTCATATACATCTTTAACCTCAAAATCTAAAAGGCCAGTCACAATAATTTCTCCAGTGACTGAATTAACTTCAAAAAGTTGACGTAAATTATCATTAACATTATTTCCTAAAGCATAAACCACCTGTCCGTTTTGACCCTCGTCCGAATCAGTGGCGTTAATCTGCACAATTGTTGTGCCTACAGGTGCGTTTTCATTCAGTATAATCGTGTAAGATTCTTTTGTGAAAACAGGCACGTTATCGTTTATATCCAGTACATCAATCAATATATCTATTGAGCCAGACTTAGGAGGTCTCCCCCCATCTAAAGCAGTTAGTAATAATTTTATGCTTTTAGTCACTTCTCTATCAAGTGGTTTGTGTAAAATCAGAATTGGAATTTTACCATCTTCTCGGTCTTTAATTTCAAGACGGAAATGCTCGTTATTGCTGAGTTTGTATGTTTGAACCGAATTGATTCCACTGTCGCGATCACGCGCAGCCTGTAGCGGATAGCGCGCGGCCGGCATAGCAGATTCCCAAATTTCCAGCCGCTTTTCATTCTCGGGAAACTGTGGACTGTGATCATTTACATCCAATATCTCTACAGCGACATAATGAATTTCTAGTGGGTTTTCTAAAGCGATTTTCAGATTGATTAAACACGGGCTGATCCTCTCGCACACCTCCTCTCTGTCTATCTTACCGTTCACATACAAGACACCGTCATTCTGATTTACACTGAACATGGACTCGCCTGAGGTCGAGACGATGCGAAATCCTCGCTCCTTTAGTGTCCTGTGATCAATACCCAAATCCTTCGCGATATTCCCCACAGCAGCTCCGTCCTTCTGCTCTTCAGAAATCGAGTAGCGGATTTGTGCCCAAACTGCGCTCCCGAAAAACAGCGAGACGGCAATGAAAGCGAGTTTCACGTTAAGCTCCAGCTGATGAAAGCGTCGTCTTTGTTCCATTTTTTTCTGAGATCACAAAAACCGCTTCAGACGCAATTTCACGATCAGTCGATCAGTTGTATAGTCTCATCGTTGGACACGTTTAAGCTGAAAACGAGTCGGTCAATGCAAAACGCTGACAAATAACGGCATCATTAGTGGAACGAGAAGAACGAATAAACCAAGAGGGCGGAACAAGCACACACACTCACACAAACATGAACAATTGTTTGACGTCATGAGCCTTTCTCTAGGTTTACACTGACATCTCGCGATCTGAAGCGTTCGTTGCATTGCAGGGTCCAACATATTTTACTCGTGTCAAATGCATGTTATTTTATCAGTTGACTCCTAAACAATCTAACCTGTATCCTTAAACATTTATTATCCATTGGACCAAACATATTGTTTATAAAAACAAGTGGGTGATTGAGTAAAAGAGAAAGAGAGACTGTTGGAAAGACACAGTGGTTGCAGGAGCCAAGACCAATTTCATAAGTTGTAAAGAAACAAAATGTCTTCAGAAAACACCATGAAACATCATGCAGCAACACAGAAAACCTCAACAAGGCTGTGATCAATCTGAGTGACAATGCATGAAGATAATTTAATTGCTCAGAAGAATATCAATTTACAATCCGATCAGAATTTGGATGAAACTAATTAAATAAAATACAGAAACCGTCCCACTGGATGTGAGGTCTGGGGTCTGTTCACAAACCAACAGTTCACTATATAGATAGAACAAACACCCATTAGAGACTCTGCAGGAAGAAAACTATATTGCAATGTAAATATCTAAATAATGCATGCAGAGCAGAATTAGAACAGTATCCACAAATAATTGAAATAAAAAAGTTCAATGAAATTGATCAATGAAATTCCATGGCCCCCTAAACAGTAGTGATACACAGATCCTCCATCATGCACAAAGCCCAGAGCCACAATTAGCTGCCCACAGAGAAAAGTCCTCTCGGCCAGTTTCTTATAGAATTGACTTTACATTTTAAAACATGTCCAGCGGAAGCACATGAAAAAACCCAACAAAAAGATTAAAAGACAAAAGCATGAGCTTAAAGTAAACTGAAATATGATCAGCATAATAAATTGGCAGAATACCGACCGACCCTAAAAACCCCGACCATTTACAGATAAGTGAACAACACAATCTCTCCAGAGGCGGGCCGACACAGACAGATCTGGCAAACAAATAAAATGAAATGGAAAAAGAAAACCACTTTTTAGCAATGCTTGAATTACACGTACTTTAGAAATACATAATTCCTTTCTTCACAACCCACAACATTCAAAATACAGAAAGGAGGACACATTTCATTTCTACTCGGAGAAGCTCAAACCATGATGCAAGATATTTAAGTTCTGCCACAACAAAAGGACAATAGGACCGTGACTGGAGAAGAGATAAGTTATTGTACAACATACATAAAAAGGAAAATATGCATACGTTGCTGTATTCCTACTTATATTTTATTAGTGCAGTTATATATATATATATATATATATATATATATATATATATATATATATATATATATATATATATATGGATAGAAGTTTGCATGTTTTATAGCTATGCTTTGGCAATGTAAACAATTATTTTTACCATCACAATTAAGTCTAAACGACAAGTAAATGTGAATATGGGAAAGAAGACACTAAGATTGTTCCATTTTAAACAGCCTGAGCAGCTTCAGCACCGTGGACAGCAACCGAAGTGTGTCTTAAAACTGTTACAACTAATACACAGTTGTAAGAGTCATTCGCTTACCTCTCCAGAATCTCTCCTCCTGCGATCTGGTATCACTAGAGTATTCCTATTACTGCCTGGCGCTATTGTAGAGCCGATACTCATTCTGGGTCCAACTAACATATACCGTTTGTCTCCAGATCTGTACTGGATGCTGTGACACAGAGTCCCGTCGTAATTTGTGTCCTGTAAATACTTGGACGAATAGTCTGTAGATTTCGAGCACTGCATCACAATCAACACGATGATGCTGATGACAAAAAGCACTGAAACCGAGCCCAAAGTGATGATCAGATAAAATGTCACGTCGTTTTCCTCCTCGTCTTTTACTGCGTTTTTAACATCAGAAGCTGCAAAAGCCTCTTTGGGCTCCACAACTTTGACAATCACAGTCGCTGTTGCTGAGAGCGAAACGTTCCCATTGTCTTTGACCAGTATGAGCAGTTTATGCTGGGCCTCGTCTGTTTCTGTGAATGAGCGAAGGGTTCTTATCTGTCCTGTATAGCGGTCCAAACTAAAGAGACTGTGCTCACTCACTTCCTGCAGTGAAAACAATAACCAGCCGTTGTATCCTATATCTGCGTCATAGGCTCTGACTTTAGTCACCAAATGACCAGCGTTCACATTCCGGGGAATCTCTTCCACACCCTCAGCAGAACCGTTAGCGCTGACTGGATATAAGATCACTGGAACGTTGTCGTTCTGATCCAGAATAAACACGTTCACTGTCACGTTACTGCTCAGAGACGGACTTCCAGAGTCTGTGGCGAGAACATGGAACTGGAAGGTTTTGGTAGTTTCAAAATCAAAACTCTTTAGTGCATAAATCTCTCCATTTTCAGAGTTAATGTTAATGAAAGATGTATATGCGTTTTCTACACCATCTCTCCATATTTGATAGCTGATCACACTGTTTTCATTTGTATCTTTGTCAGAGGCAGAAACAGAAAATAAAGATTTGCCGGGAGCATTATTCTCAACCACATAAAACGCATAAGGGGAAATGGAGAACTCTGGACTATTGTCATTTACATCTGATATCTGGACAGTTATAGTTTTAACAGAAGACAGTGATGGCTGTCCAGCATCCTTTGCAACTATTGTGATGTCATACTGAAATTTAGTTTCCCTGTCTAATGGTGATGTGGAAACTAATGAGTATGTACTATGCTGTGAAGAAGGCATTAGTTTGAAAGGCAGGTCATCTTCTAATGAACAAGAGACTTTGCCATTGAGTCCAGAATCTAAATCAGTGACACTAATCAAAGCCACTATAGTACCAGGTCTAGAATCCTCAGGAATTGCATTTGAAAATGATGTCACCTCTATTTCAGGTTTATTGTCATTTATATCCATAATTTTAATCATTATACTCTTATCTGTTGTATGGGGAACAATTCCTTTGTCAGATGCTTGTATATCAATCTCATAGCTGTCTTTGTCTTCATAATCTAAGGCCCCTTCTACAGTTATCTCACCAGTGATGGTGTTAATATCAAAAAGCTTACGTACTTTACTATTAACACTTTTACCAAATGAATAAATTATCTCACCATTCGATCCCTCATCCAAATCTGTGGCGTTGACCTGTATCACGGTTGTACCTATAGGCGCATTTTCACTCAGCATGACTGAATAAACATCTTTTGTAAAAACTGGCACGTTATCATTTATATCTATAACATTAATCTTTATCTCCATTGTCCCAGACTTGGCAGGCTTTCCCCCATCAACAGCAATTAGTTGCAAAATAATGTTTCGAATAACCTCACGGTCTAAAGGCTTTTGTAAAATAAGGATAGGGATTTTACCGTCTTCTCCGCGATCTTTGACTTCAAGTCGGAAATTATCGTTATGACTGAGTTTGTAATGATGCACAGAATTGCTGCCACTATCAGAATCGCGGGCAGCCTCAAGCTGAAAGCGCGCCCCGGGCAGGGCAGATTCCCCGATCTCTAAATGCATCTCGCTTTCCGGAAAACTCGGCGCGTGGTCGTTTACGTCCAAAATCTCAACAGTTACATAGTGGATTTCAAGTGGGTTTTCTAGAGCAATTTTCAGATTTATTAAACAAGGAGTGCTTCTCTCGCAGATCTCCTCTCTATCCATCTTACCGTTCACATACAAGACACCGTCATTCTGATTTACACTGAACATGGACTCGCCTGAGGTCGAGACGATGCGAAATCCTCGCTCTTTTAAGGTTCTGTGATCAATGCCCAAATCCTTCGCGATATTTCCCACCGCAGCTCCGTCCTTCTGTTCCTCTGAGATGGAATACTGAATCTGCGCTCGTGCCACCGCACCAAACACAAGCAACGCAGCCATTAGAGTGAATATTGCGTGCTCTTTCAGCCATTGCGCGAATCTTCTTTGTTCCATTCTGAAGGTAATACAGACAAGGATCTAGGCAATTCCTCTGCTACACTCGATTGGCAATATTAAGCATTGCTTTTCCCTCTAAAAGTTTACGCGTACTGCCGAAAAAAAAACCGAATCGCTGAAAAGCAAACGCAAGAACAACCGACGAGCAGGATACACAAGCATTAAATGCGAAGGGGAGGAATAACAGTATTTGACGTCATGAGCCGTACTCTAGGATTACACTGACACCTCGCGATCTCAGAGCTGCAATGCATCACATTATATTGCAATTGGCTACAGCAAAAATATAATAAATATTAGAATCACGCGTCTACGAATACAGCAGAAATACAGAAAACAATACAAACAAAATAATTTAAAGAAATAAAAAAACAGTAGCCTATGATAGACTACTATCCATATCTTTCATCAGATCATACAGAAAAATTAAAACAGAACTCGCGCTGGCCAAAATCTCCTGCAGGGATCTGCTACTATTTCTATTAAATATCTTTCTTCAACGGTTATATGTTTGCATTTTTAATATGCTACATAATAAATAAATATGCTAAATATTTGTTTATTTGCTATTTTTTTCGTTGGCAATGTAAAACATTCCTATTACCATATAAATTAAGTCTAAATTATGAATACACCTGAATATGAGAAAGAAGACACTATGTTCCATTTGAAACAACAGCCTGAGCCGCTTCAGCACCGTGGACAGCAACCGATGTGTTTCTTAAAACTGTTACTACTAATACACAGATGTAAGAGTCATTCGCTTACCTCTCCAGAATCTCTCCTCCTGCGATCTGGTATCACTAGAGTATTCCTATTACTGCCTGGCGCTATTGTAGAGCCGATACTCATTCTGGGTCCAACTAACATGTACCGTTTGTCTCCAGATCTGTACTGGATGCTGTGACACAGAGTCCCGTCGTAATTTGTGTCCTGTAAATACTTGGACGAATAGTCTGTAGATTTCGAGCACTGCATCACAATCAACACGATGATGCTGATGACAAAAAGCACTGAAACCGAGCCCAAAGTGATGATCAGATAAAATGTCACGTCGTTTTCCTCCTCGTCTTTTACTGCGTTTTTAACATCAGAAGCTGCAAAAGCCTCTTTGGGCTCCACAACTTTGACAATCACAGTCGCTGTTGCTGAGAGTGAAACGTTCCCATTGTCTTTGACCAGTATGAGTAGTTTATGCTGGGCCTCGTCTGTTTCTGTGAATGAGCGAAGGGTTCTTATCTGTCCTGTATAGCGGTCCAAACTAAAGAGACTGTGCTCACTCACTTCCTGCAGTGAAAACAATAACCAGCCGTTGTATCCTATATCTGCGTCATAGGCTCTGACTTTAGTCACCAAATGACCAGCGTTCACATTCCGGGGAATCTCTTCCACACCCTCAGCAGAACCGTTAGCGCTGACTGGATATAAGATCACAGGAACGTTGTCGTTCTGATCCAGAATAAACACGTTCACTGTCACGTTACTGCTCAGAGACGGACTTCCAGAGTCTCTAGCGAGAACGTAAAACTGAAACGTTTTAATTCTTTCGAAATCAAAACTTTTAAGCGAGTGAATAACCCCTGTTTCCGAATTTATACTTAAGAATGACGTTATGTCGTTCTGTGTCCCTCCACCTCTATTTATATGATACGAAATCAAAGCATTTTCATTCACATCTTTATCAGATGCGCTCACTGAGAATATTGAGGCTCCAGGAGCATTATTTTCAAATATGTAAAGTTCAAGGAAATTACTCGAAAACTCAGGTTTGTTGTCATTCACATCTGCTACTTGGATGCTTAATGTTTTAATGGATGATAAAGGAGGTTGACCTAGATCTGTTGCTGTAACTGTGATGTCATAGTGCGGCTCAAGTTCACGATCCAAACGCCCCTTTGTCACTAGCGAGTACATATTATCTTGGAAAGAGCGTTTCAGCTCAAAAGGAACATTATCTGAGAGACTACACACAACTTTACCATTGACACCTGAGTCTTTATCTGAGACACTTATCAAAGCAATTACTGTGCCAGGTTTGGAGTCCTCGGCAACAATATTAGATAACGATGTCAGTTCAATTTCAGGCTTATTATCGTTTATATCTTGTATCTTTATAATAACTCGTCCTTGGGCAGACAAAGGAGGCTGACCTTTATCTGAAGCCTGAACATCTAGTTTATAAACGTCCGTGTCTTCAAAGTCTACATTGCCTTTAACTTTTATTTCGCCTGTAATGGGGTCCAATTGAAATACGTCATAAACTTTGCGCTTTAAAGTTTTGCCAAGTGAATACTCAATTTCACTGTTTGAGCCCTCGTCCCTGTCAGTTGCATTTATTTTAATTACAGTTGTTCCAAATGGGGAATTTTCTTGTAAGCTGACAGAGTATAAGTCTTGACTAAACACTGGGCGATTATCATTAATATCCAATACGGTAACGGTGATGTTAAGGGTACCTGATTTTGCAGGGTTTCCACCATCGAGGGCTTTCAAAATCAGCACATGTTCTGGCTTATTTTCGCGATCGAGTGGTTTTCTCAACACTAAAAAGGGGATTTTGTCCTCATCGCTGTCTCTAATTTCAATCTCGAAATTTTCATCCTGACTTAATTTATACAAACGAACAGAATACGGTGCGGCATCCTGGTCTCGTGCTGCGTGCAGCTGGAAGCTCGTTCCTGTAGGGGTGTGTTCTGCAATCTCGAAATACTGATTCTGCTCAGAAAAACTAGGATGGTTGTCGTTTATGTCTGTTATTTCTACTGCAACATAATGAATTTCTAAAGGATTTTCGACTGCAGTTTTTAGATTTACTACGCATGCACCATTTCCGTCACATAGCGCCTCCCTGTCTACGCTTTTGTGAATATACAATTCGCCATTGTTCTGATTTATTTGGAAAAACGCGTCTTTAGAACCAGAGACAATACGGAACCGTCTGTCCACCAAAGTACTCACGTCAAGTCCCAGGTCCTTAGCAATATTTCCCACAACAGATCCCTCTTTCACCTCTTCTGGTATTGTGTATCTTATCTGAACTGAAACATGTTGTCCAAAGCCGAGAAGAAAGGAGAAACACAGAGAAATCCACCAGTACTCCCATCGGCGCCTTTGTTCATACATCGTTAAGGATTCCTTTTAAGCAGCTTTAAAAAAAAGTCACGATTGTATTCAGTTTAAACTGTGTATTACCAGACGCAACATTCTTAAAAAAACATCGATGCAATTTTAGAAAATGTCCTTCCCTCGGCTTCTCGCGCTACACTCGTCAGCTGCGATCACAGTTTAACTGAACGGAACAGCCATGCGCGCCACATAAAGGCAGGGTCAAATCTCTACCTCATTTCCTAATGTAACACTGACACCACATGGTACAAAAGGAGAAGTAAATGTGAACTCTTACGTTGCAAAAAAAAAGAAAGAAAAAAAGAAAAAAAGATGCTTATGAATGCTTAAGACAATCAATAACATTTGCAAAACATGAACAAAAACGAATAAACAAATGCAAGAAGAAAATTTACACTTTTAGATGTACCATCAAATGCTCCCAAAATACATTTCAACCTACACAAATCTTAAAAGAACGTTAGCGCATTTTTGACGTAACAAAGAGTTAGAAAATCAGATATACTACCAAAGCAGTGACTACAGACTTAGACATGTTGCCCATTATTTCTTTAAATTCGCTTACCTCTCCAGAATCTCTCCTCCTGCGATCTGGTATCACTAGAGTATTCCTATTACTGCCTGGCGCTATCGTAGAGCCGATACTCATTCTGGGTCCAACTAACATGTACCGTTTGTCTCCAGATCTGTACTGGATGCTGTGACACAGAGTCCCGTCGTAATTTGTGTCCTGTAAATACTTGGACGAATAGTCTGTAGATTTCGAGCACTGCATCACAATCAACACGATGATGCTGATGACAAAAAGCACTGAAACCGAGCCCAAAGTGATGATCAGATAAAATGTCACGTCGTTTTCCTCCTCGTCTTTTACTGCGTTTTTAACATCAGAAGCTGCAAAAGCCTCTTTGGGCTCCACAACTTTGACAATCACAGTCGCTGTTGCTGAGAGCGAAACGTTCCCATTGTCTTTGACCAGTATGAGCAGTTTATGCTGGGCCTCGTCTGTTTCTGTGAATGAGCGAAGGGTTCTTATCTGTCCTGTATAGCGGTCCAAACTAAAGAGACTGTGCTCACTCACTTCCGGCAGTGAAAACAATAACCAGCCGTTGTATCCTATATCTGCGTCATAGGCTCTGACTTTAGTCACCAAATGACCAGCGTTCACATTCCGGGGAATCTCTTCCACACCCTCAGCAGAACCGTTAGCGCTGACTGGATATAAGATCACTGGAACGTTGTCGTTCTGATCCAGAATAAACACGTTCACTGTCACGTTACTGCTCAGAGACGGACTTCCAGAGTCTGTGGCAGCAACTTTGAACTGGAACTTTTTTATAGTTTCAAAGTCAAAACTCTTCAGCGCATGGATAACGCCAGTGTCATGGTTAATGCTGAGAAACGACGACATATCACTATCTGATCCATTTCCTCTAACTATGTGATATGAAATTGCAGCATTTTCATTTAGATCTTTATCTGACGCGCTCACAGAGAATACTGATGCACCAGGAGTGTTATTTTCCACTAGATAAAGTTCGAGTGGATTTTTGTCAAACTCTGGTTTGTTATCATTAACATCAGCCACCTGCACAGAAACGGTTTTAAAAGAGGAAAGAGGCGGCTGACCTAGATCACTGGCTTTGATTGTGATTTTATAATCTGCCACAAGTTCCCTGTCCATGTACTCTTTAGTAATTAACGAATACAAATTTTCCTGAACAGATGGTTTTAATTCGAACGGAACATTGTCAGAAAGACTACAAACAACCTTGCCATTAACACCAGAGTCTTTATCGGATACACTAATAAGAGAGATTACAGTTCCGGGTTTTGAATTCTCGGAAATTATGTTAGAAAGGGACGTGACGTCTATCTCGGGTTTATTATCATTCTCATCTGTGATCTTTATAATGACTCTGCAGTCAGTGGTCATCGGTGGCTGTCCTTTATCTGTGACCTGAACGGTCAACCTGTGTATATCGTTCTCCTCAAAATCAATTGGCTCTTTAATTTGAATTTCACCAGTTACACTGTCAAGGCTAAATGTTTCATGTACTTTCCTTTTACTAGTTTTTCCCAGAGTGTAAATAACCTCCCCATTTAAACCCTCGTCAGAATCAGTAGCGTTTACGCGTGCTATTACTGTTCCTATATGTGTGTTTTCTGGAAGAGTTATTGAATATATATCTTTAATACATACAGGGCGGTTATCGTTGATATCAAGAACAGAAACAGTAATATTTAAAGCACCTGACTTGGGAGGGATGCCTCCATCCACTGCAGTCAGCACAAGTCTATGCTCTGAATTTTTCTCCCTGTCTAAAGGTTTAAGTAAGACTAAAATTGGAATTTTTTCCTCTTCGTCGCCGTCTCTCATTTCCAGCTCAAAGTAATTATTCTTTGCTAGTTTATAAAGCCGAATGGAATTGCTCCCGATATCAGGATCTCTTGCAGTTTGTAGTTCGAAACGTGCACCTTCATTAGTGTTTTCAGCCATTTCAAAATGCTGCTCTTTCTCGGGAAAACGAGGACTGTGATCATTCACGTCTGTAATTTCTACTGCGACATAATGTATTTCCAGTGGATTTTCAACGGCGATTTTCAGATTGATCAAGCACACGCTATTTCCATCACACAGCTCCTCTCTATCAATTTTCTTATTAACATATAATTCGCCATTGTTTTGATTTACCTCAAAAAGAGCATCTTTCGATCCAGAGACGATACGGAAACGCCTGTCCACCAAGGTATGCGCATCAAGACGCAAATCCTTTGCGATGTTTCCCAAAACAAATCCCTCAATTGCCTCCTCTGGTATAGAATATCGTATTTGTGTTGAAACCTGCATCCCGAAGCTCAGCAGCAAAGAGAAACACAAAGCAATCCACCAGCACTCCCATTCCCGTCTTTGTCCTGTCGATTCCATCGTTAAAAAAAATCCTTTGAAAAATAAATAAAATTCAGATATTTTGCAATAGTGGTCTACTCATTCGTGACAGCGTGTATTCTTTATAATATTGGCGCTTTTAGATAATAACAGATGGATTTTTTCATATCCAGCTTCTCGTGAGACAGGCTAGCTCCCATCGCTAGTGTAAACGAACTGAACAGAGCATGCGCACCACATATCAATGGGCAGGGCAAAATCTCTCAAGCATAACCTTATGTAACACTGACACCAAATGGTACAAACAGGTAAACATGAATTGTCAAATCCTTAAGGAGACCACATAAGTACAGCCCAAGACAAATAACTTCGATTTAACTATTGATTTGATATTACGCACATATTCTTTTCGCGCCACCCCTATTATACATGCATTTCAAATGGTAAACTAAAGAATGAGTAGTTTTCAACCAAACTACAATAGCAAAGGACTTTCGCACTGCAAATGTGAACCGTTTCAGCACCCTGGACAGCGAATACTCAAACTTCTAAATCTCAATAAATAAAAGAAACCATGAATAAATGGTGATCTTATAAGTCAGAATATAACCCGATCACATAGAGAACAAGATACTGCAATCAAAATGTACATTTTGTTAACACTAAGCCTGAGAAAGTTGTTAAATATAATTTGCAAAGCGCTTACCTCTCCAGAATCTCTCCTCCTGCGATCTGGTATCACTAGAGTATTCCTATTACTGCCTGGCGCTATTGTAGAGCCGATACTCATTCTGGGTCCAACTAACATGTACCGTTTGTCTCCAGATCTGTACTGGATGCTGTGACACAGAGTCCCGTCGTAATTTGTGTCCTGTAAATACTTGGACGAATAGTCTGTAGATTTCGAGCACTGCATCACAATCAACACGATGATGCTGATGACAAAAAGCACTGAAACCGAGCCCAAAGTGATGATCAGATAAAATGTCACGTCGTTTTCCTCCTCGTCTTTTACTGCGTTTTTAACATCAGAAGCTGCAAAAGCCTCTTTGGGCTCCACAACTTTGACAATCACAGTCGCTGTTGCTGAGAGTGAAACGTTCCCATTGTCTTTGACCAGTATGAGCAGTTTATGCTGGGCCTCGTCTGTTTCTGTGAATGAGCGAAGGGTTCTTATCTGTCCTGTATAGCGGTCCAAACTAAAGAGACTGTGCTCACTCACTTCCTGCAGTGAAAACAATAACCAGCCGTTGTATCCTATATCTGCGTCATAGGCTCTGACTTTAGTCACCAAATGACCAGCGTTCACATTCCGGGGAATCTCTTCCACACCCTCAGCAGAACCGTTAGCGCTGACTGGATATAAGATCACTGGAACGTTGTCGTTCTGATCCAGAATAAACACGTTCACTGTCACGTTACTGCTCAGAGACGGACTTCCAGAGTCTGTGGCGAGAACATAAAACTGTCCTGTTTTCATCGTTTCAAAATCAAAACTTTTCAGCGCATAGATAGCTCCAGTTTCAGAATTGACATTCAGAAATGAAGCCAAATCTCCTTTTGTTTTGTCATCTCGAACTATATGGTATGAAATAACAGCATTATCGTTTATGTCTTTGTCACGTGCGCTAACTGAAAAAATAGACGCACCTGGTGAATTATTTTCTAATAAGAAGATCTCGAGAGGATTTTGAGGAAACTCTGGCTTATTATCATTCACATCTGAAACATCAATGCTTAAAGTCTTCACTGAGGACAGAGGAGGTTGCCCTAAATCAGTGACCGTTAATAAAATATCATAATGAGTAATCATCTCGCGATCTAAAGCCTTTTTCGTCACAAGCGAATACATATTTTCTTGAAAAGAAGGTTTTAGCTCAAACGGAGTCCCATCAGGAAGACTGCATACTATTTTTCCGTTAGCACCGGAGTCTTTATCTGTTACACTAATCAGTGAAATAACAGTTCCTGGTTTGGAGTCCTCAGGTATCAGATTGGAAAGCGAGGTGACCTCTATTTCTGGTTTATTGTCATTCAGGTCTGTAATTTTAATGATAACTCTACAGTTTGTCGTCATCGGAGGCTCTGCACTGTCTGAGGCTGTGACGTCAGCTCTGTATACTTCTGTGTCTTCGTAATCAACATCACCACTAACACGAATTTCACCTGTATTCCTGTCTATGTCAAATGTGTCATACACCTTTTTCTTTAAATTGCTCACAAAAGAATATTGTACGTTACCATTTACGCCCAAATCTGCATCTGTGGCATTCACTTGTAATATCAAACTCCCTGAAGGAAGATTTTCAGTAATTGTCACAGAGTACACATCTTTACTAAACATCGGTCTGTTATCATTATTATCGAGCACTACTAAGGTAATGTTCATGACGCTTGATCTCGCGGGATTTCCACCGTCGAGGGCGGTCAACACTAAATGATGCTTACTTTGTCGCTCCCTATCAAGGGGTCTCTGCAGTTTAAGAATAGGGATCTTGTTATCCTCACCGCCATCTCTAATCTCCAATTCAAAATGTTCGTTATGACTCAGTTTGTATGTGCGCAGAGCATTTCCTCCAGAATCAGGGTCACGAGCTGCGAGCAACTGAAAATCAGCACCAGGTAAAGTATTTTCTGCGATCTTCAAAATCTGTTCTTTCTCGGGGAAAACAGGTGCATGATCGTTGATATCCGTAACCTCAACGCCCACATAATGAATTTCGAGAGGATTTTCAATAGCAATTTTGAGATTCACTTGGCAGACTTCATTGTCGACACAAAGCTCTTCTCTGTCGATTCTCTTTTGAACATACAACATGCCATTGTTCAGATTTACCTGAAAAGGAGCATCCTTAGATCCAGAAACGATACGAAAGCGCCTGTCCGCCAAAGCACTGACATCAATACCCAAATCCTTAGCAACATTTCCAACAACGGATCCTTCTTTGACCTCCTCTGGAACAGAGTATTTTATCTGAGCTGAAACCCGCTGTTCGAACAGAAAAAATATGCACAAAACCATCCACCAGCACTCCCGTTTGCGCCGCTGTCTTCTGTCTCCCATCGCGAACATCGGGTTGGCTAAACTGTACATTTAATGACGCGCATTTCATGTAGAACTGGAAATCGAACCCGAAATATGGTCCTTTACTTTAAAGCTAGTGCAATTATGTACGTGCGCCTTTCTTCTGAACCGCTCGCGCACACAAGCCTCTCCAAATGAGGAACAATGCCCTTCACGTCATCAAAAGCAAAACGGTTTTCCATGCAACATTAGTGCAGCACTGACACCGGGCGGACTGAAATGTATAGCACATCCTTGAACACATATACAGAGCGCTAAGTAAAAACATTTCATTGCATTTTATTGACTTATTGCAGTTGTCAGTATATATTTGAAGTAAACATATTCGATGTGTAAATATTTACAAAAGAGACTGAATTTTTGTATAAATTTAAGTAATTCGATATCAAGATATTTTATGATATCCTTACCTCTCCAGAATCTCTCCTCCTGCGATCTGGTATCACTAGAGTATTCCTATTACTGCCTGGCGCTATTGTAGAGCCGATACTCATTCTGGGTCCAACTAACATGTACCGTTTGTCTCCAGATCTGTACTGGATGCTGTGACACAGAGTCCCGTCGTAATTTGTGTCCTGTAAATACTTGGACGAATAGTCTGTAGATTTCGAGCACTGCATCACAATCAACACGATGATGCTGATGACAAAAAGCACTGAAACCGAGCCCAAAGTGATGATCAGATAAAATGTCACGTCGTTTTCCTCCTCGTCTTTTACTGCGTTTTTAACATCAGAAGCTGCAAAAGCCTCTTTGGGCTCCACAACTTTGACAATCACAGTCGCTGTTGCTGAGAGTGAAACGTTCCCATTGTCTTTGACCAGTATGAGCAGTTTATGCTGGGCCTCGTCTGTTTCTGTGAATGAGCGAAGGGTTCTTATCTGTCCTGTATAGCGGTCCAAACTAAAGAGACTGTGCTCACTCACTTCCTGCAGTGAAAACAATAACCAGCCGTTGTATCCTATATCTGCGTCATAGGCTCTGACTTTAGTCACCAAATGACCAGCGTTCACATTCCGGGGAATCTCTTCCACACCCTCAGCAGAACCGTTAGCGCTGACTGGATATAAGATCACAGGAACGTTGTCGTTCTGATCCAGTATAAACACGTTCACTGTCACGTTACTGCTCAGAGACGGACTTCCAGAATCTGTAGCAGCAACTTTAAACTGGAACTTTTTAACAGTTTCAAAGTCAAAACATTTTAAGGCATGAATTACGCCTGTTTCTGAATTAATGTTGAGGAATGAAGCAAAGTCAATCTCCGTCCCGTCACCTCTAATTAGATGATATGAAATTAAAGCATTATCATTCACATCTTTGTCAAACGCAGTTACTGAGAAGACAGATGCACCTGGAACGTTATTTTCCATTAAATATAGTTCGAGGGGATTTTGAATGAATTCCGGGCTGTTGTCATTCACATCAGACACCTGTACGGTTAAAGTTTTAAATGAGGTCAGAGGGGGTTGACCTAGATCTGTCGCAACTATTGTGATCTCATAATAAGACATGGCTTCTCTGTCTAAAAACGTTTTGGATACTAAGGAATACATATTGTGTTGAACAGACGGTTTGAGCTCAAATGGCACATTAGAAGACAAAGTGCATACAACTTTGCCGTTTGCACCAGAGTCTTTATCTGACACACTAATGAGCGAAATTACAGTTCCAGGTTTTGAATCTTCCGGAATAATATTAGAGAGTGACGTAATCTCTATTTCAGGGGTGTTATCGTTCACATCTAAGATTTTCACTATAACTCTACAGTCTACTGTCATTGGAGGTGTCCCCTTATCGGACGCAAAGACATCTAGTCTGTACACCTCAACATTTTCAAAATCAATATTATCCTTAACTCTAATTTCCCCTGAGACACTGTCCAACACAAAAATGTTATTAACTTTACTGTTTAGATTGCCACCTAGGCTATATCGCACTTCTCCATTCAACCCCTCGTCAATATCAGTAGCATTAACTTTCATCACAACTGTATCCGCTGGCACATTTTCTTGTAAGTTAACAGTGTAAACCTCTTGGCTAAACACAGGGCGATTGTCGTTGTTATCGAGAACCGTGACAGTAATATTTAATACTCCTGATTTGGGCGGACTACCCCCGTCAACAGCTGTTAATGTTAAATTATGTTCAGCTTGGTGTTCTCTATCCAGAGGTCTCCGTAAAAGCAGAAATGGGTTTTTTTCGTCGCCCCTGTCCCGTATTTCTAAGTCAAAATGTTCATTTTGGCTCAGTTTGTAAGATCGCACAGAATTTGCACTAATATCTGGATCACGCGCAGCTTGTAACTGGAAGCGCGCTCCCGGCTGGGTGCTCTCTGCAATTTCGACTCTCTGCTTTTTCTCTGGAAAACTGGGCGAATGATCGTTCACGTCCGTAATCTCAACTGCAACATAATGAACCTCTAAAGGATCTTCCACAACTGTCTTAATGTTCACAATGCAAGCCGTGTTTCCGTCACAAACATCTTCTCTGTCGATCCGTTTATGCACATACAAAATCCCATTGTTCTGATTTACTTGGAAAAGCGTTTCATCAGACCCAGAAACAATACGAAACCGTCTGTCCTCTAAAGCGCTGATCTCGAGACCCAAATCCTTAGCAATATTTCCCACAATAGATCCCACTTTTACCTCCTCTGAAATAGAATATCTTACTTGAGCTGAAATCTGCTGCTTGAAACACAGCAGTAAAAAGAAACACAGAGAAATCCACCAGTACTCCAATCTGCGTCTTTGTCCTCCGGATTCCATGTTAAACGATTTCACCAAACAATCTTGCTTGCAGAATATCAAGTATCACTTCAGCGTACGAGCGTAAACGTCCATTTCTTGTAATATGTCTTATATGTAATGCAAACACAACGATTTTATGGATATTTTACGACGGAAGACCGTCGAGGCCGTTTCGTGTTCACCCTCTGCCCAGAAGAAAACAGACCTGCGCATGGTGTACCGATGGGAAGGACAAAACCTTTTTCACCCTGTATTACACTGACACCGTCTGGTGAAAACTAATGCAGCAATTGATACATTTTGAGTGTTGCCAATGTGTTATTAGAGAAATAGATATTAAATATAGAACTTTTTAAATACTAAACATTATAAATTAGAAATAAATGGTCAGCGACCCTGAAAGAAAACGAGAGCGTTCAGCACCACGGACAGCACCACACGCGCGCTTTATATGATTGGCTTGGAATGCAAAATTACTATTATTTTTTTTTTATTATTTAACAACAAATTCATTAACCAGTCTTATTTAATTCCACTGAAAAACTGAATGATATCAAGCGAAAACCCCAAAACACATCAAAAGTAACTCATTTTTACATAAGTTGAAGGGCGCTGAGAAGTAGATTATTCAAAATTAAGTAGATTTAAGTTTACAAACTGTCAGTGTTTTTGACGACTAACAGTGATGTTTTTGAGGTTTCATGACATCCGAAACAAGAAGTTTAAACATTTTAATGCCACAAAAAAAATAAAACGCCTTTAACAAATTCACAAAGAACTGCAACTTATTTCAGAACCAGCGCTGTGGACAGCTCCCTGCGAGCGGTTACTTACAATACGACCAGACAAACATTTCAAAAAGTAGGCTACTGAACAAGTTTTTGCGCTATATAATCGCAGATCAAAAAAAGCAGACCATTTTGAAGAAATTAGTACTAACGAATAAGAAAAAAATTAAAAACATAAAAATAATCAAAGCAATAATCATAATGAACTGGTTGTCCTTACCTCTCCTGAATCTCTCCTCCTGCGATCTGGTATCACTAGAGTATTCCTATTACTGCCTGGCGCTATTGTAGAGCCGATACTCATTCTGGGTCCAACTAACATGTACCGTTTGTCTCCAGATCTGTACTGGATGCTGTGACACAGAGTCCCGTCGTAATTTGTGTCCTGTAAATACTTGGACGAATAGTCTGTAGATTTCGAGCACTGCATCACAATCAACACGATGATGCTGATGACAAAAAGCACTGAAACCGAGCCCAAAGTGATGATCAGATAAAATGTCACGTCGTTTTCCTCCTCGTCTTTTACTGCGTTTTTAACATCAGAAGCTGCAAAAGCCTCTTTGGGCTCCACAACTTTGACAATCACAGTCGCTGTTGCTGAGAGTGAAACGTTCCCATTGTCTTTGACCAGTATGAGCAGTTTATGATGGGCCTCGTCTGTTTCTGTGAATGAGCGAAGGGTTCTTATCTGTCCTGTATAGCGGTCCAAACTAAAGAGACTGTGCTCACTCACTTCCTGCAGTGAAAACAATAACCAGCCGTTGTATCCTATATCTGCGTCATAGGCTCTGACTTTAGTCACCAAATGACCAGCGTTCACATTCCGGGGAATCTCTTCCACACCCTCAGCAGAAACGTTAGCGCTGACTGGATATACGATCACTGGAACGTTGTCGTTCTGATCCAGAATAAACACGTTCACTGTCACGTTACTGCTCAGAGACGGACTTCCAGAGTCTGTGGCGAGAACATGGAACTGGGATGTTTTTAACGTTTCAAAGTCAAAGCTCTTTAACGAATAAACAACACCTGTTTCAGAATTTATATTCAAGAAAGTCGACAAATCGTTCTGTGTTCCATCACCTCTAATTATGTGATACGATATCACGGCATTTTCAGCACTGTCTCTATCAGAGGCGCTCACTGAAATTATAGAGGAACCGGCAGCATTATTTTCCACTAAGTAAAGATCTAGAGGATTTATTAAAAATACTGGAGCATTATCATTCACATCAGAAATCTGAACGCTTAGTGTAGTCGATGCAGTCAACGAGGGCTGTCCTAAATCAGAAGCGGTAATTGTAATTTCATAATGCGATTCACTTTCTCTATCTAACCGATCTGTTGTTACTAAAGAGTACATATTGTCCTTGAAGGAAGGCTTTAGCTCAAAGGGAATATTTTTGTTTAACTGACAAATCACTTTACCGTTGATCCCGGCGTCTTTATCAGTCACACTGATCAGAGAAATCACCGTTCCAGGTTTAGAATCTTCAGGGATGTTCTTAGAAAGTGACGTAATCTCAATCTCTGGCCGGTTGTCATTCACATCAATTATTTTAATAACAACTCTAGAGTTTGCAGACATTGATGGATGCCCCTTATCTGATGCCTGAATATCGAGTTTATAAACTTCAGTATCTTCAAAATCCACTTCCCCCTTTACACGTATTTCACCTGTGACCTGATCGAGCTCAAACACATCATGCACTTTGCTGTTTAACGTCGCAAAACTGTATTCCACTTCACTGTTTTGGCCCTCATCGACATCAGTAGCATTTACTCGAATAACCACAGTGCCAAAAGCAGAGTTCTCTTCTAATGTCACAGAATATGTCTCGCGACTAAATACAGGGCGATTATCATTTGTATCTAGAATAATAATTGTAATGTTAACAGACCCAGATTTCGGAGGATTCCCTCCATCAACTGCTGTTAGAATCAGCTTGTATGTCGTTGTAATCTCCCTATCAACAGCCTTCTTCAGAACTAAAAATGGCATTTTATCTTCATCACTTTCTCTAACTCGAATTTCAAAATGATCGTTAGGGCTTAATTTATAGGACCGGACCGAATTAGTTCCAGAATCGGGATCTCTAGCAGCTTGTAATTTATAATCAGCACCAGGCAGCGTATTTTCAGAAATTCTGAGGCGCTGCTCTTTATCAGGAAATCTAGGAGAGTGATCGTTTACATCTGATATTTCAACTTCGACATAGTGTATCTCGAGAGGATTTTCAATGACGGTTTTTAAATTCACCATACACACACCGCTGCCAACACACAAAGACTCTCTGTCGATTTTCTTAATAACGTACAAAATGCCATTTTCCTGATTTATCTGAAAAAGCTCATCTTTAGATCCAGAAACGATTCGGAACTGCCTGTCCACCAAGCTACTTACTTCAAGACCCAAATCCTTAGCAATATTTCCCACAGTGGTTCCTTCTTTCCCTTCTTCTGGAATTGAATATCTTATCTGAGCTGAAACCTGCTGTCCGAAGTCAAGAAGAAAAGAAATACACAGAGCAATCCAGCAGTACTCCCATCGGCGCCTTTGTCCTCCGGCTTCCATCGCGAGCGATTTATAAACGCTTTCTCTAAAGGCAACTGTAAATGTCCTCGATTATTAGAGGCCGCAGTAGATGTTTATGGCAAGCACATCATGAGAAAATCACAAAATATGAAACCAGTCCTTTTTAAGGATCGTCAGTAGCGAATTGTCGATTCATCCCGAGCCTTCAGTGTGTGTGTGAAAGAAACAATGCAGCCCTATCCACGTCATCATCAGGGGCAGGACTCAATACACTGGAAAAATGATAGTGCAACACCGACACCAAGTGGTTTATAATACTTACAAACATTTTTTTTTTAAATTACTGTCAGTTGTAAATAATAATGAAATAATAAACGTAAATCTGTGAGAAGTATTAATCAACATTAAGTAGATTTAAGTTTACAAACTGTCAGTATTTTTCGACGACTAACAGTGATGTTTTTGAGTTTTCATGACATCCAAAACAAGTAGTTTAAAAAAAATTAATGTCACAAAAAAACGCCTTAAATTCCCAAAGAACTGCATCTCATTTCAGCACCAGCGCGGCGGACAGCTCCCTGTGAGCGGTTACTTACAATACGACCAGACAAACATGTAAAAAAGTACTAAAGTTTTTGCGCTATGAAATCACAACTCAACAAAAGCAGAACATTTTGAAGAAATTAGTTATAACGAATAATAAAAAAATACAAATAATCAAAGCAATACGGTGCCCGTAATTATAATGAACTGGTTGTCCTTACCTCTCCAGAATCTCTCCTCCTGCGATCTGGTATCACTAGAGTATTCCTATTACTGCCTGGCGCTATTGTAGAGCCGATACTCATTCTGGGTCCAACTAACATGTACCGTTTGTCTCCAGATCTGTACTGGATGCTGTGACACAGAGTCCCGTCGTAATTTGTGTCCTGTAAATACTTGGACGAATAGTCTGTAGATTTCGAGCACTGCATCACAATCAACACGATGATGCTGATGACAAAAAGCACTGAAACCGAGCCCAAAGTGATGATCAGATAAAATGTCACGTCGTTTTCCTCCTCGTCTTTTACTGCGTTTTTAACATCAGAAGCTGCAAAAGCCTCTTTGGGCTCCACAACTTTGACAATCACAGTCGCTGTTGCTGAGAGTGAAACGTTCCCATTGTCTTTGACCAGTATGAGCAGTTTATGCTGGGCCTCGTCTGTTTCTGTGAATGAGCGAAGGGTTCTTATCTGTCCTGTATAGCGGTCCAAACTAAAGAGACTGTGCTCACTCACTTCCTGCAGTGAAAACAATAACCAGCCGTTGTATCCTATATCTGCGTCATAGGCTCTGACTTTAGTCACCAAATGACCAGCGTTCACATTCCGGGGAATCTCTTCCACACCCTCAGCAGAACCGTTAGCGCTGACTGGATATAAGATCACTGGAACGTTGTCGTTCTGATCCAGAATAAACACGTTCACTGTCACGTTACTGCTCAGAGACGGACTTCCAGAGTCTGTGGCGAGAACATGGAACTGGGATGTTTTTAACGTTTCAAAGTCAAAGCTCTTTAGCGAATAAACAACACCTGTTTCGGAATTTATATTCAAGAAAGTCGACAAATCATTCTGTGTTCCATCACCTCTAATTATGTGATACGATATCACGGCATTTTCAGCACTGTCTCTATCAGAGGCGCTCACTGAAATTATAGAGGAACCGGCAGCATTATTTTCCACTAAGTAAAGATCTAGAGGATTTATTAAAAATACTGGAGCATTATCATTCACATCAGAAATCTGAACGCTTAGTGTAGTCGATGCAGTCAACGAGGGTTGTCCTAAATCAGAAGCGGTAATTGTAATTTCATAATGCGATTCACTTTCTCTATCTAACCGATCTTTTGTTACTAAAGAGTACATATTGTCTTTGAAGGAAGGCTTTAACTCAAAGGGAATATTTTTGTTTAACTGACAAATCACTTTACCGTTGATCCCGGCGTCTTTATCAGTCACACTGATCAGAGAAATCACCGTTCCAGGTTTAGAATCTTCAGGGATGTTCTTAGAAAGAGACGTAATGTCAATCTCTGGCCGGTTGTCATTCACATCAATTATTTTAATTACAACTCTACAGTTTGCAGACATGGGGGGATGCCCCTTATCTGATGCCTGAATATCGAGTTTATAAACTTCTGTATCTTCAAAATCCACTTCCCCCTTTACACGTATTTCACCTGTGACCTGATCGAGCTCAAACACATCATGCACTTTGCTGTTTAACGTCGCAAAACTGTATTCGACTTCACTGTTTTGGCCCTCATCCCTATCAGTAGCATTTACTCGAAGAACCACAGTGCCAAAAGCAGAGTTCTCTTCTAATGTCACAGAATATGTCTCACGACTAAATACAGGTTGATTATCATTTATATCTAGAACAGTAATATTAATATTAAGAGTTCCAGACTTCGGAGGATTCCCTCCATCAACTGCTGTTAGAAGCAGCTTGTATGTCGTTGTAATCTCTCTATCAACAGCCTTTTTCAGAACTAAAACTGGCATTTTATCTTCATCACTTTCTCTAACTCGAATTTCAAAATGATCGTTAAGGCTTAATTTATATGACCGGACTGAATTAGTCCCATAATCGGGATCTCTAGCAGCTTGTAACTGATAATTTGCACCAGGCAGCGTATTTTCATAAATTATTAGACGTTGCTCCTTTTCAGGGAAACGAGGAGAGTGATCGTTTACATCTAATATTTCTACTTCTACATAATGTATCTCGAGAGGATTTTCAATGACGGTTTTTAAATTCACCATACACACACCGCTGCCAGCACACAAAGACTCTCTGTCGATTTTCTTAATAACGTACAAAATGCCATTTTCCTGATTTATCTGAAAAAGCTCATCTTTAGATCCAGAAACGATTCGGAACTGCCTGTCCACCAAGCTACTTACTTCAAGACCCAAATCCTTAGCAATATTTCCCACAGTGGTTCCTTCTTTCCCTTCTTCTGGAATTGAATATCTTATCTGAGCTGAAACCTGCTGTCCGAAGTCAAGAAGAAAAGAAATACACAGAGCAATCCAGCAGTACTCCCATCGGCGCCTTTGTCCTCCGGCTTCCATCGCGAGCGATTTATAAACGCTTTCTCTAAAGGCAACTGTAAATATCCTCGATTATTAGAGGCAGTAGTAGATGTTTATGGCAAGCACATCATGAGAAAATCACAAAATATGAAACCAGTCCTTTTTAAGGATCGTCAGTAGCGAATTGTCGATTCATCACGAGCCTTCAGTGTGTGTGTGAAAGAAACAATGCAGCCCTATTCACGTCATCATCAGGGGCAGGACTCAAGACACTGGAAAAATGATAGTGCAACACCGACACCAAGTGGTTTATAATACTTAAAAACATTTTTTTTTAAATTACTTTCAGTTGTAAATAATAATGAAATAATAAACGTAAATCTGTGAGAAGTATTAATCAACATTAAGTAGATTTAAGTTTACAAACTGTCAGTATTTTTCGACGACTAACAGTGATGTTTTTGAGTTTTCATGACATCCAAAACAAGTAGTTTAAAAAAAATTAATGTCACAAAAAAACGCCTTAAATTCCCAAAGAACTGCATCTCATTTCAGCACCAGCGCGGCGGACAGCTCCCTGTGAGCGGTTACTTACAATACGACCAGACAAAGATGTCAAAAAGTACTAAAGTTTTTGCGCTATGAAATCACAGCTCAACAAAAGCAGAACATTTTGAAGAAATTAGTTATAACGAATAATAAAAAAAATACAAATAATCAAAGCAATAGGGTGACCGTAATTATAATGAACTGGTTGTCCTTACCTCTCCAGAATCTCTCCTCCTGCGATCTGGTATCACTAGAGTATTCCTATTACTGCCTGGCGCTATTGTAGAGCCGATACTCATTCTGGGTCCAACTAACATGTACCGTTTGTCTCCAGATCTGTACTGGATGCTGTGACACAGAGTCCCGTCGTAATTTGTGTCCTGTAAATACTTGGACGAATAGTCTGTAGATTTCGAGCACTGCATCACAATCAACACGATGATGCTGATGACAAAAAGCACTGAAACCGAGCCCAAAGTGATGATCAGATAAAATGTCACGTCGTTTTCCTCTTCGTCTTTTACTGCGTTTTTAACATCAGAAGCTGCAAAAGCCTCTTTGGGCTCCACAACTTTGACAATCACAGTCGCTGTTGCTGAGAGTGAAACGTTCCCATTGTCTTTGACCAGTATGAGCAGTTTATGCTGGGCCTCGTCTGTTTCTGTGAATGAGCGAAGGGTTCTTATCTGTCCTGTATAGCGGTCCAAACTAAAGAGACTGTGCTCACTCACTTCCGGCAGTGAAAACAATAACCAGCCGTTGTATCCTATATCTGCGTCATAGGCTCTGACTTTAGTCACCAAATGACCAGCGTTCACATTCCGGGGAATCTCTTCCACACCCTCAGCAGAACCGTTAGCGCTGACTGGATATAAGATCACCGGAACGTTGTCGTTCTGATCCAGAATAAACACGTTCACTGTCACGTTACTGCTCAGAGACGGACTTCCAGAGTCTGTGGCGAGAACATGGAACTGGGATGTTTTTAATGTTTCAAAGTCAAAGCTCTTTAGCGAATAAACAACACCTGTTTCGGAATTTATATTCAAGAAAGTCGACAAATCATTCTGTGTTCCATGACCTCTAATTATATGATACGATATCACGGCATTTTCAGCACTGTCTCTATCAGAGGCACTCACTGAAATTATAGAGGAACCGGCAGCATTATTTTCCACTAAGTAAAGATCTAGAGGATTTATTAAAAATACTGGAGCATTATCATTCACATCAGATATCTGAACGCTTAGTGTAGTCGATGCAGTCAACGAGGGCTGTCCTAAATCAGAAGCGGTAATTGTAATTTCATACTGTGAATTAGTTTCTCGATCTAACCGATCTGTTGTTACTAAAGAGTACATATTGTCTTTGAAGGAAGGCTTTAACTCAAAGGGAATATTTTTGTTTAACTGACAAATCACTTTACCGTTGATCCCGGCGTCTTTATCAGTCACACTGATCAGAGAAATTACCGTTCCAGGTTTAGAATCTTCAGGGATGTTCTTAGAATGTGACGTAATCTCAATCTCTGGCCGGTTGTCATTCACATCAATAATCCTAATGACAATTCT